GTTTCATTTGTAGTTTTCTTTTTTATTTGAACAATAAATTGTCGGTAAAATGAACTTAAGACTTCACAAGGCCACACACATACATGAATTTAAATTCTTCTAACGTTTGAAAATTGGCTTTAGTTCAAAGACAAAATTTATTTCTGAACGTAAAGAATGTGATGATGACTGTTCGTTGTACACATAATAAATGTTAATTTTCATGTACATTTTTAAAATATATTTAAAAGTAAAGTTATGTCAAATAAATTAAGAAAGTATTAACACATTGCAGATGGCACTTTAAATCTAAGAAAATTACCAAAAATAGGTGAGAATTTTTTCTTTAAACCTTACTGCGCCTGCTTTACTCACGTAAAACTATGGTGATAAATACTGCAAAATCATTTATAAATTGCATATAACATGTAAATTATTTCTTGTGAATATTTTCACTTTTCTTGAAAAATATTAGTGTATTATTTAAGGTTGATTTTCTTGAAATATATTTGAGGCATGCAGCTTTAGATTAGAATTTTGTTTGTTTTGTTTGTTTAATCTGGTTGGTATTTACTACGATTTTACACATTTTTCGGTAATATCTCGGCGGTCAGTCCACCTAACCAACTTTCCTAGACAACTAACCAGTAATAACAATTTTCTTCGCTCGCAAGTGACCTACTACTAATCCGAAATGATTTCTGAATCAGTGGTGACACACAAATGACCATTAGACTCAATGTCCGAGATCAATTGCCACGGAGAAATTTTCCTTCTCCCAGGGATCGAACCATCCACACATGGATTACATATGCTATCCCTAAAAAGCTATGGAAAACTAAAAACCAGGAGACAATCAAGTAAAGTATCTTGCATTAGACTTCTCCTTAATTTGCTAAACATCTGAAAATGACTTGTCCATCTTTTAATTCTGGACATACTATTTTTTTTTCGGAATGTTTCAAAATATGTGCTGCCTGAATAGCGAAGAGTGCAGAACATAATAAGACTGCAGAGATGTTCCGGCTTTCTTGGTTTGTCGCATAGTTGGAATAAGATACCGGCCAGCAGTCTAAGAGTTAAATCATGTTAAGCTAATATAAATATAAATTATATAGAATAACCAAACCAGAATAAAACATTCCCTTACAACTATATTCAAGTGCCATTTTAATCAGTACCACCTTCATTATTAGATATTTACTAACGCCTACTAGAGCCGAAAGTGCACAGCCCTTGTTACCAGTATAGAGCCAGGCCAACTTGCACACCCGTGTACTCTGACCAGTGACGATGATTCCTTGATTATTGTAAAACTACTACGAATGGTTTATTCGAAGACCTTTTGACCTTTATTTCGTGAAAGTATTCCCTAGCACAGCACAAGCTTGCCATTTGGAAAATGGAATTACACTGTCCTTATCTCCTAATTGAAAATACCTCATCAATTAACGTCTAATACTTTTGATGCGAGAGGTAGAAAATAGACGCAGACATCTATGTGCTAAAAATAGATATTTCCTCCATGAGACTCACGATTTGAAAATCAAGGTAAGAAGAAATTGCAATTCAATAAGATTTATATAAAAATAGCTGAAATCTCTAAGCTGTTAGACGTACATCATAATAATAAACATTTCTTTAATAGAATGAAAGTTACATTATGAATTTTAATTTGCATTTAGTTTACGATACATGCACATATATATCAATCACGAAAGGAAAACAGTACGTAAGGGTGCGGATGAAATAATGTTTATGTGCCGAAAATTGTTCCTAAGTTTGTAACTGTGTTACTAACACTATCGTAAGTCATCTGCTAAACTAAGACTTGGTCATTTATTTGAAAACATACGACATAATATTGCTTCTCCCACATGTACAAATTATATTCAGCAAAGTCTGCTCTCAGGATATTTTTATAATACATGATTGTTTTTTTTTACAATGAGTTATCACCAATTTTACCACTGTTGAAGACATCTACTTGTTGGCAGTTGGTTATCCATAAGTGTTTCTAAATTCTGCTCAAGTACTTGCTTATTTGTTTTCCGCATGTAACTGCCAACTTTTTCACACATATATCTTTTGACACAGAGGTGAAGGGCGAATGACAATAAATATACATTTTTTGTATTATGTTCAACAAAATCGTCACAGAAACGAATGACCGCATACGTAACCTATTTGTACTTGAATCGCTTCATTTCATACAAGTGTCGCTTTAAAGGAACTCGGCTGAGATCAAAAAGCTTAAAAACATAACATTTGAAAATCTTACATAGATCAACCGGAGACTTTAAAACAGAAATAAATGCAAAAGATAACTAAGAAATTTACATTGTATCTTTGCGCAATTCTTAGCCCAATTTAAGTGAACGCTTTTCAATTTTGAGTATTTTTCACAATAAGAATAATTATTCTGGGGTAACGAAGAAAGCAAGTGATCTGAAATTTTGCACACAATTATTGGTTTAGATCCACATTAAATGTGTCATTAATCTCGGAAAATAATTCAAGTCTAGTCATGTAAAGAAACCTAAATGGAGTCCCTTTAATCTAATATCATTTATCTAATATTAGAATAAAGTTACAACAAACTTAAATTGAAGTTAGATCTAAAGCAAAGAAAGACTACAGTAGTCTTTTGTCAGACGAGACATACTCTTTATGAAAGTTTTTGGTAAATATATTTATATTACTTTCTGGCTACTTAGAACTGTTTTCTACAACAGAGAAAGAATTAACGATAATAAAAAAGTGGATTTCGGCGATCGTAGTTCAATACTAGACAATATCCTATGAAATTTTACAAAATATTTGTACTCCTTATGATTATGTTTGTAGAAGTTTTCCTTCTCGAAAGTGAATATTTGTACATTTCCAATAAAACATTCTGATTTCTAAATTATCATAGGAATCTAAATGGGAGTGCAGAATATTTAACTTTATTTTTTGAATATGTTGGAGGAACTTATATACATGTATGTTACCTATACTCTTACTGAAAATTTCAATGATAATACAATGTACATATCTCGTTACTATACTTTTCAACAGGTATTTCAAAACATTCGTTCGATTCATTTTTAGTAGAATTAAAGAAATCGAAACCGACAATCAATCCCTCACTCTAGATAAAAACATCAAAAAAAGTAAAATGAAAAAATCAAATAAAACTCAACAGTTAGTTCTGGAAATGGTTTCTTATCTATTTACGTGAGGGGTTTTTTGCTTCCAGTCTCGATTTCTGGATTATCTTAACCTGACTCAATCTTTTCTACCTTTGTGGATGTGATGGAATGCTAAACTTCATGTATAAAACATTCCAAACGTAACAGGTATATATAATTAAATGTAATGAAATTTGAAAATATTTTTATGTCGTTAGAGAATACATTTGGAAAAATATCAATGTAAGTTCAAACGTATTAAACATGTATAAAGATATTACAGGATCAAAGTCTGCCGATAGTTAATTGTGTGACTTTATTGTATAGATAAATATAACGTTTCTGTCTATATTGATAAGCCCCTTGCTAACAACCCATCGCTTTGTATATTATTAGATCATTGGGATATACACTCTTGTGAAGAACACCCCCGTAATTTAAGATGAGATTTCACTTATCTACGAAAAAGATTTCATCGTCATCATCATCATCATTAACAACAACAACAACAATAATAGCAACCACCACACGAACAATATAAAGAAGAACAACAGCACCATTATCATCATCATTATCATCATCAACAACAATAGCAACAGCGACAACAACAATTTCAAAATCATCATCATCACCATCATCGTCATTATTATCATTATAACAACGACACAAACAACATGAAGAAGAACATCATCCAACATATTATTGTTGCTCTCAGTCATTACATAACCTTCGCTATATTAAAAAATGTGTCTTTATTGAAAACACATGTATCTAATTACAAAAACGTATTATAGCAGACAATAGCTGCAAGATTTTATGTTAATACTATCATGATTGACAGAGCAGTGCCTAAATGTTATAAAAACTAATACGAGCTACACCTACATTCAGCACAAGAACTATAGAATACCGGTATCTGCAAATCACAAAAAAACAATCATTCATTATTTAAAAATCATCTACTGAAAATGATCAATCTGTCGCGCACCTGCTATTAACAAACGCTTGATATTGTTTACTTTCCGACACTACTGCGGGTCTAATGCACCCCTTTTCTAGACCTACATTATGATGAACTACTCATTTATCAATTATGCAACGATATGAGCTAAGTAAAACAAGACCATCTTTCAGTTACAAAATACGGGCTTCATTTTCAATTCAAACACATTTTTAATCTTTGAATTATTCTTTTATAATTGAGCCCCGTAGAAATGTAGAAATCCGACAAATTATGACGATTAACAATCTTTGGCTATTATTACTTTTGGTAATGAGGGTTAATTGGTTCCAGACAAAAATTTGCCTTGCCCGTACACCGAGACGTGTTATCGTGCTTGGGGTTACAAAAATAAATAAACGGCACGAGTGACTGGCATAATCTAAAAGAATCTATTATTAGTAAGATAAATATATGAAAAATATCTGCACTCACAGCTTTTCTCTGCTGTTTATTGCGTTAAAACATCTACATCAGCAGAAACAATCCAAAAATACAATCTATTTATAGCATGTTTAAATTCCTGAACCCGTGCCCAAAATATCTTATTAAAATGAATGAGTTAAATGTACACCTACCGGCACTAGAAAATTAACTCCAGGCTCGAAAAATTATAACACCTTGACACTAGCCTTGCTTAAAGCTCCCTTGAGCACGGAAAACTCGATGTTACATGGAAGTAATGAGGAAAACAGAGGTAAGGTATAAGAAGTTTACATTTATTAGAATTGCTACCGACAACTGAACAACTATTCTGCGATAGGTTCCATTGATACAAGAGTGGTGACTATATTTGGCAGGCGAACTGCGGTATCTCATCTACAGGGTGAAATAAAAGCAATACTTACACGTTGTACCGTAAGTGGCTGGTTTAAATCCTTTCCTCCCTGCAGCCGGAACCCCCATGCGGTCTGCATGCAGTCCCGGGCTAGTCGCACCTGCACAAGGGACATTCTTATTATGCCATCCTACAAGAATAAAAGATGTAACACTATATCGGCCGGAACGAAACAAGCGTTCGAAACGAGGCGGTGAACAGAGCGTTGGTAGAGAGAATATGCTCAGTACAACAAATACTTCTGTATGTGAATCAATGGGAATATTACCTGTATAACTACAGACAATATAGAACTTTCATAATGATAGTCATGTGGCGGAGGTGATTGAAAGCGTATAGGTTTTATATTAGCCAAAAAATTTCCCCCGGGGAAACCCAGCGAAAAAAAGAACAATTTTTTTTTTTGCAGGAAAAATCTTTTAAATGAAAGTCCCTTAAATAAAACTCTTATACATGATCATTTCTGCAACACCAAAAAAAACATTTAAAAATTAAAGCAAAAAAAATATATTTTAACAAAAATAAAATTTGATGGGGGTAATTTTGATTTTTTTATATTTTTTTGATTGTTTGGGAATTGATTGATTGATTGAAAGGTTACAAAATGCAAAGGGACACACTATTTTAAATGTTTTTAAATCATATCTGGGTTTTTTTTCTGGAAAAAAACTTTGGCCAAATAAAACCAGCAGAAAATAAAACAAAAGGTAAAACGATTTTGTTTTTCCCGGGCCTTACTTGTCTAAGTAATTTAAAGCAGATCAAATCAGAGTTTTGAAACGCGAGTTTGGGGTTTCCCCTTAAAGGGGTACGGAAATATATACAAGAATTTCCCTACAGGTTGCTGAAAAGTTTTAAATGGCCATAAAAAATCTATGTAGGTAAAAATTTTAAAACATCTGCCCAAAAAAACGTAAAATCAAAATGGAGTAAAATGAAAACCATAAATAAATAAAAGAAAATTTTTAAATTTATTTTTTTTGGGGTCCCCCCATGGGAAGGCCCTTAAATTTTTTTAAAGGGGGTAAAATATAAAACTCCAAAAAATTGAGAAGCCCGGAAAAAACTAAACGGAAATTTGATATTAGACATTCAGCAGAACATTTAATTTTATCGAATCTTCTGCAGGCAGAACATCCGGCAGGACGTTGAAATTTTACCTAACTTTCTGCTAGCAGGACATTCAGTATACATTCAGACTTTACCAAATATTTTGCTGAATGTCTAGTGTCGTTCTCACACACTTAAAACTGAAGCCTTAAGTTTGATATACGTACGTTTATAAATATTTGTAGTTGCCTCCGAAAATAAAGATAGGCGACTCGCTCCTGAAGACTTTTTTTAGATAATTGCTACGGATATCGACATTTTCATCAATTCTAACATGAACAACTTTTATTTGTACTTGTAAGGTGTACAACAACGGCACCATTACATGGATTTTCATTTTCGAAAGTCTCATCCGAAAAACTTATTACTAGTATTAGTTTTACTCGGAGTCGAGACCCCTAGATTTGTATTCTGATAATTCAGACAACTGTCCTGATATATTAAGCATCTTTTGACACAATACTGGTGGCTTTGTCCTTGACATTTGAAGGGTAAATGGTATAAGCCCTATCGACATTTTACCCCCGGCCCTTCTTAAAAGTTTTGGGTTTTTTAAATTGTTTGCTTTATAAGCCCCTTTCCATAAAAAAAAGTTTGAAATATTTAATTTTTAAAAAGGGAAAATTTTTTAAAAGCCCCCGGGTTTAATAAAATGTTTAAATTAAATAATAAAAAACCAAAATCTGAGACACCCGTTTTTCGAAAAAACCGGGTTTGGGAAATTTTCAAAAATTCAAAAGAGTTCCCCATTTCATCATCGTAAATTCACAATTTGAACTTCGTGAATTCACTTTTTCAAAAATTTCTGAATTCCCCGAAAATTTACTATTTCAAAGTTCATAAAAATTTACGAAAATTTTAAAATTCAAGAGTTTCACCAAATTTTAAAAAACCCCAAATTGTGGAAATTTGCGAAAGAAAACCCGAAATTGAAAATGTCACCACCTGTCTAACGTATCATTTCCATCACCACACTCCAATTCATAAACGGAGGCCTTGTATATTTAGACTATGCTGGAGTTAACCAAACATGTATTTTTTTTATCTTGTACAGCTATTCACATCTGAAGTTGAAACCATTTTAAATAATGTTTGTGTTTTCGCTGAAAAAATATTAAGAACATAATGTAGGTGTTAAATAATTATTCTTCTTTATTTTTTTATGTAACATATGTTCCTTGCACTCCTTTACCTCGCATATGTGCATGAAAGTTCATCACGTGGTTACTCATTTTTCTTATTAATTGTATATATTTGATATGTATGTGTATTTCATGATACGATGTTGAACATGTTTAAAGAATAAGACTAATATTTTCTCATTTTTTAATGAATAAAGTCTTTGTTATGTTATGTTCATGGCAGCACATAACTTTGAAAATAATAAATAAATAAATACGACAACTAAAACTTGACAATGCATATAATAACAAAATAAAAACGACAACTAAAACTTAAATAATGCATATAATTACACATAATTCGTTTCATGACAAACTCAGTTTATAACTGTTGTTAAGATTATCAGAAAATAATATAGCACATTATAAACACAATATAACAGTAAATAGAATATTGTTGTTTTTTTCTCGCTGTCAATGCCACGGAACTTTCTGGAGCAAGTAAACAACACGTAAACATCTATTATTATTAGATAAATGTTGCGTTATGATGTTAGTTAGTGATGTTACAGAAATATCAAAGCAGCATGCCTCCAGATTCCTGCTTATTTTCATGAAAATTTTGAAAATGTAAAAGAAAGTAAAATATTGTGAAGTGAACAAAGAAAATAGTATACACATTGTTAACGGCACTTGCAATCCATGTAAATTGCTAAAAAGAGGTCAAAATATGCAAAAATAGCCCTAACTGCGTTACTTACTCAGTAGAAATATGGTGAAAGATTCTGCAAAATCGGCCATTTATCTCAAATAACATGAAAATTATTACTTATAAATTATTATTTTTTACTTTTCTTAAATTCTCAATACATTTTTCTCAAGTTTCATTTTCTTGAAATATTTTGCCTCATCTGGAGGCATGCAGCTTTAAGCTGTACAAGTGGAGAAAAAATGATCTAAACGAACATAAGCCTCGTTAAAGGCACATTATGCCCCAGAAACAAATATTTTTGGCTTCTGTGAAATGGGCAAACATAGTCTTATAATGTTTAAATAATTATTTTTAAGCATGTTAGATGTTAATCGTCTAAAAAAGTAGTGCTGAATATTGAATTATTTGTCATTAAAGTAGCAAAATGTAAACAAAGTAATATTTTGACATCCATACAAAATACTTATTAACTTTATCTGTATCATAACTGCCAGAAAGCAAAGGAAGCAACAAATGCTCAGATAATTGGTCAACGAATATTAAAAAAAACCCAAAAGAAACACCTAACAGGACACCAAAAATGAATAGCTTTTGAGAAATAAAAATGAAAACATTAATTGGTCATAATGGGCCTTTAATACAGAAGAATTTATCCGTGAAGACAAGGCAAATCTGTGTTTTATAACGTTTTAATTATGGATTTAAATCATGTAAGATATTTAGAGAGAGCAGCATTGACTGTAAATATTTTTTTCTTCAAAGTGTTTCTTTTAAAAGACAAGAAAACTTATAATTGAAATATCTAATTTTTGTTAACGCATCTTTTTTAGTTATTGTCGAGTTCAAATGCTTGATATTTAAGCATTTGGGTTTAATTCCCATGTGTTCCTATCCCATGTGTTTATCTCATATGTGTTTAATTCCCATGTATGTTATCCCATAAGTATTTAATCGCAGAACCGTAATAAAACATAATACGCATAATATAGTGGCGGCGTGGCCGAGTGGTTAACGCATCGGTTGCTGACCGCGTGGGGCAAGCCGTTGTTTCCTTGAGCAAGAAACTTTACATTCATTGCTTAGTACTGGTTGGTTCCAGGAACGGATTCGAGGGTGTCAAAATAAGCTTATAGCTTCCAACACAATCGAACTCAAATAGGTTTGTATAAACTAAACATAATATAACATAATCATCATTTGGCATAAAATAGCATGAGCATTATATAACCAGTACACATTCATTAACACATAAAAATGGAAGTGTTACAAAAAGTACATAATAAATTTTACGATAGTCACATAAATGTTTGGCTAATTTACAAAGTAAAAACTTTTAATCAAGCACTAAATTGTTGTAAACAGGGCATGTTAATTTTAACCAGACAAACACTTTATTTCTGCGTATTCAATAGAAATTTGAAGAACGTAGTGAAAGGGAGACAACTTTTTGTTGATTTTCTGGAAATGATTCAAGTTATTATTACCGCTGCGATTTTTTTACAGAAGCAGACCATTGAGAAGTAAATAAACATGATTATCAGCAAGTATGATAAAAAACAGTTGTTTACTTTTTAACAGTACTTTTGTTTTACCGATTAACAATGGCTTTCTACATTTTCAATCCGTTAGTAAAAACAAATAAGAAGTATCTTTAAAAAAAGCTACTCGGCCGAAATAAAACTAGTTAACTTGAATATGTTAGTTCTTAGTTTTCCATGCAAAGTCATATAGAAATGTTAGCATAGCTTGTATAACAAGGACATAACAATTTTTGTAGGGTTATTAATCTTTAAAATTTGGAACACTTTAAGATGTCAGTGTTTCTAAACAAACCTGTCGTGTTTCGGTAAGTGAACTCAATTTTTAACACCAACATCTACGCAGTCGGTAGGCAATATTATAAGACCTACTATGTAATTTATTATGTGAACTATATATAACATAATACTTTCATATTATACTTTTTTACTCATTTTCTTAAGGTAGACCTACTCTGTTTTTCGTATACACTTTTCGTTTATGTTTTTTTCTAGCTGGGGGGCACTATGCTGACAAGGGTGAGAAATAACAATATATAAATGAATGTAAAAACTATCTCACAAAATCATCTGTTTATAAATATAAATAATAATTAAACCAGCGTATTACAATGTTCTCCTAACGAATATTTATATAATCGCATTTCAA